AACTTCCTTTTTTTATTTACCTGTATCCTATTTTCCCATGTTTTTTATTTTTTGTCTCCGTGACTGATGAAAATATTTTGTAACTGATCCAGAAGTCCAGAAGTGAAACAGGCTGCAATGTAATCACCCAGCATTTGAGTGCACCGTCCATGTACGTCCCAAAAAATTGCTCATTTTTGCCACTGACAGGCTCAGATTATTATTCCAAGTGTCTCAACAAATTATTGAAAGGATCCCTACAGAGACTGACCTTTTTGTCAAAGAGTAAGATCCATTTGTTTCCTCAAATAGCCCGAAAATTGCTGTAACTGAAGCCACCAGACTCCATTTACTTAAACAGTCATTTTTATCATTGTGAAATACAATTCATTCAAAGTTAACAGAAACAAATGAAGCTCACAAAACCCATCTTGGTTCGTCTCGCCACTGTTCCAGCAATTGCCAGCTCTGGTTTGTATGAAATAAACCCTTAATTCACCCAGTTAGAAGTGAAAATCTGCTGGCTCTGTACGCTAAAATTACTGTTTTTTTTAAATGGAGTCTGGTGTATTTGGGAATGGTGATATCAGGCTGTTTTTGGTTGAAGAAAAAGGATCTTCCTCTTTAACAAAAAGGCCTATCTCTGTTGGGATCCTTTCCACAATGTGCTGAGACTGAGTAATAATAGGAGCCTGTCAGTGGCAAAAACAAGCACTTTTACTGGCTGTACATTGCAAACGTGCTCTCAAGTGGTTACAATGCAGCCTGTTTTAGGCTGCCGGCTCCAGCACTCTCATTAAATACTGGACCACTTTCAAAAAGTGTTGGTTCTAATGTTATACAAAAAATGACAAAGAAGCTACAGGTTAAAAATACCGTAATTACCCTTTAAGACAAGAAAAAATGTTACAAATAAATTAAAACTAACAGATTAAGTGACCCGTCATTTCAGGTGTAATTGTCTGATCAATACTTTTTCTCATCAAGGCAGACAAACATCCTTGGGTTCCCATTTTCTGCATGTAAATCCAGAAAACTACAGCATCTTTATCTTTCCTGGTCATAGAGAGTCCCTGGCTCTGACCAAAGTTCAATTATTTGTTGTTTTTGTTAAAACAATGACTACTTGACAGTTAATGGAAGAACCTAGTTTTAAACAACACATGATAAGGTTTCTTTGAATTGGAAACGTTTTTCACTTTAGGGTAACAAAAAGTGTAAGCCATCATCCAAATTATTTTGCTCATGGTTTAATTTATCCATCTATCTCTGGAACCAAATTAGGTACTACGTTCTTTGCTGTTTAAACGGTCTTCTATGACCTACAGTACAAATTAAATTGTGTTTTAATTGTTCAAATCTTTCCATCAAAATGGATACTTAAGATAATCAAGAGATCTAAATGCAACACAGAAATAATGATCAAATCAAACTTCACAAGCCTGACTTCAAAGTTATCCAAACATCTTCATTTTCTTCTGAATTTAATTTATATTCATAACATTGAAGAAACAGCGCTGTGTTGACTTTCTTTCCACCTCTCCCAACAGTGGTCAACACGTGTGATGAGGTTTCGACAGGAGGGGGAACAAAGACCAAGATGGATGATAACTCCCCCTAACCACACACTCACAGTTACTATGGGTTGACCTCAGTTGACCCCTTGGCCCCTCAACAGCCTCACGTCCCATTGACTGGGGTTAAATAGGGTTTTGCCTGCGGGGTTTTATGGCAGAGAAAGAGAAGAGAAGTTGCTTCACTGTAACCCTTTGGCAGCGTCATATAGTTTGTGTGGCAATGACAGTTTCTAAAATGTTCCACGGCTAAAAGAAACATACAATACGCCTGTGTTTCGTAAATAACTCTCAGTGGAAAGGCCCAGCTGTAGCAAATGCTGGATTCCTGCTATTGTTTCGGCTTTTTTAACAAACAGTCCAGCATTCATGACTTCCCCTTTCCCTCACAACTATGTGTTGACTAAAATCGTAAACTGTTTTCTGTCTATGTCAGTTGATGAAGTTATCCAGGAGCAGAAAAGCAGAAACAGCTACTACCTCGGGTAACACACATACTTTCAATTTACTGTCACCTAAAGCAAAGAAAAGCAGCAAATCCTCACAACCGAAAAGCTGGCACTTTGACTCAAACAATGAGTTTTATGATTCATCGATTACCAAAATAGTTGCAGGTTCATTTTCCGCTTTTCCACTTAATTAACCAGCTAACTGTTTGAGCTCTGTTTTGGCGATAAAATCAGCAAGACACCATCCAGTGTTTGCGTTGCAGTGACGTCTGTATTTGCACAAAAAGGCAAAAAAGCACTACATACATTTCTAAGAATGGATAGTTTGCAGTTACGTAACAAGCCAAGCGCTCCTCACATGAGTAAACCTGAGGAAATTTATACCGCAGAGCACACAACATGTATAAAATCAACAACAAACTATTGATAATTTGTAAAATATAGAGCATTAATTAGCCGGCTTGCTATCCGTGTTAGCCTGGAGGCTCTGAAGTGTTGCTGTGCTCGCTCCACACCTCTAATTAGCCGTTCAGGCAGCTGTATAATAGAAGATGATAACAGGGGGGGAGAGACAGAATCAAATCACTCAGCAACATGGTTTGTTTTGAAATTTGAAACTGCCATTTACTCCAGTTGTCAAAAAATGACGCAAACGCAAGGCAGAGAGAAGCACAAACTAATAACTGGCAGGGCGCACAAAGGACAAATGCACTATCCTGCAATGTTAAAGGAATACTTGACTCTGCAAATGACCATTTGTATATCAGTTACTAACCCTGTGTTATGTTGAATTTATGAGGAAAACATTGTTCTTGCATGATTCTGGAAAGAACGAAGAATCCAAAAACAGAGAAATTCTTGATGAATTGAACTGTTGCAGTATAATCCAAGCCTCATTTATCAAGTCGCACCCTTAGTACCTCCCAAATAGATTGGCCTTTATGATGGGAAACTGGCATATAAGTGAAACTTCTCCATGTTCTCTTTTCAAACCAAGCTCCATTGACAAAAACAGTAATTTTACCTCGCTGAACACAGGAGATGTTGGTCAACCGCTGCCTCGATCAGTTAGTTTGTTTGTGTTATTATGACTGGTGGATCGGAACTAACCCTAGAAAACACTTAAGTCACACAATTAGACAAACAAACTAACCGATCGAGTCGGCGGTAGCAGCCAGGCAGCTCCTGTATTCAGGGAAGTAAAATTACTGTTTTTGTTAATGGAGCCTGGCTTTGAAGAGAGCATAGGTAAGTTTTGCTTTCTGTTCAGGTCCCTATGTCTGTTTGGGAAGCACTGAGCATATGACTAGATAAATAAGACTTGCAGATGTGGCCACATTGTCCACCATCTCTGATCCAACCATATAACCATCAAGAGGTCTGAGTGACAGATGTTAGATCTACCACTTCTGTCACCCTGCACCCCGGCAGCACCTGTCAATCAAAGCGCTCCTCTGTCTCCAGGGAAACTCCAGCTGGTCAAGAATGTGAGGACTGAAGGATTTCTTTGTCCCTGAGGTATTCGGAGTCCCCTTTTTTCATTTCATTCACTTTGGGATGCTTGGTCAGCATTTCTGTAAAGGCACGGTGCACAGAGTCCCACATGGGCACCAAATTGCATCTGGAGACTCAACACCGGCGTTCCTTCAAAAGGAAGGTCCCAAAATGACAGCAGTGTCTCCTCCCCACCCCCTCAGGAGCAAAGTAGTGAGCAAAGGCCCAGAGGTAAACACCAAGAACAAAGAAATATCACACCAAAGATGAGATTTCAACAAATTAACTCCTGCCTATGACAAAGCATTTGCATAAGTGTGTCTAAGCCGGGGTATTGGTAAACCTGCTCCGGGCTGCGAAAATCTGGAATCAGCCGGTCTAATAGTTTCCCCTTCTTGCTTAATTAACCACCATCTGATCCACTCAATCATAGTATTTATGACAAAACCAACAACCACTGACACATGCGTGGCAATTACAGAAAGGCCACCTTGTTAACAGCCTCCACTACACCCATGATCTTTAGCAGCTCATTAGGCTGCAACATGGACACATGCGCACACAATCGTACACACAGGGCATGTTACATACATCTGCTCTTTAGCACCTTTTCCCCACAGTGTTGGCCTGCTCGTTTCCAACCATTAGACCCATTAGAGGCCAATTAACACCGACACAAAGCTCCCTTCCTGTTTTATGGCACTGTAAACAAAACCTGCAGGCTTGCCTTGGGCTCAGCAGAGCTCAATAGCCTTTAATGTAACACTCATTAGTTTAGTAATATGCTGCCTTTTCTTAGCAGAAAAGCCTTCAGATTCCATCACACCGGATTGCACATAAACTTGAGGTAATAAGGCACTGATATGAGTTGCATTGACTTCACCTTACAGACTGGGTAGAGCCTATATGAAGCATTGAACCTGCTGTTTGCTTTAAATCTGCAGGAAAAGGCCAGGCTTGGTCTAGACAATAGTTCCCATCTAGTAACACATTAACCACGTTTATCTCAATTGCATCAATGGGATATGTGTTGCAGATCCATGCTGGACTGATAACCCAACCCTTAATCCCCACAGCCAGATGGCTTTAGTGGAAGGGAACCTGTTGTTTGAAGTGCCGTATGTGGGTCAGAATGAGCCAAAAGATAACAACACTGGACTTTTCCGCATGTTTAAGTTGTTTCCTACTCGGTTTGTCAAACAAACATTTGAGTGTGCATGCTGCAGCACGCCACAGCCACGGGTCGTCCACAGAGGAGAGGCTCATGAGACACAAAATCACTGCTTGGAGTTGTTTTGGGAGTCGTACTCAGCGGTTAAAAGCGTGCGTAATGGCTTATCCAAGTTCCATTTCATTCATCTAGGAGTTGTAAGGTGGCGCAGACAACACACGCAGGATAAAATACGCACTGCCCATTGCCCCACTGTCCATGCGTTGCTTTTGAAAGCTTGGAAAACACTACTTTTACGCACCAAAACACAAACACAACATGAGAAATCCCAACCTGAGAAGTCTGAAGAGCCCTTGGTGAGATCGCACAGGACGCTCAGACACGTTATTCCCAACAGGAGCGCATAACTGACGGCTGAGAGAGTCCCATCTGAGAAGAACATCCTTGAAGCCTCGAAGTTTTTGAGTTTCTCCGTAGCATTAGAAAGTCCAGCAGCAGCAACATTGGGGGTTTCAGATGTGCGGTCCCATCATGTCTATATCTATCTAGTCTTCCTTCATCCTCACACCACACTGCTGGCACACACCGTGTGGATCGACGTTCCTGTGGGGCTGCAGCGGCGCTCTGCTCTCTCTCTCAGTGCATTTCTAACTGCGTGTTGTGTTGTGGAGGCAGCCCACCTGGAGGACCGCCGCTCCCCTGCATGGTCTCAAAGACCCAGAGTTCCCTAGCAGACACATGCTGCAGTACAGGGGCGTAGGTTATGTTTCAGCAGTGGAGGGCGGGGGGCCACATATGAAAGTGAAGGGGGGATCCTCTGCTAGAAAAATTCAAGCATCAAACAGTTCATTTCCTCCAACAATTAATAAGAAAGCTGTTATGACCTCTATAAATAACTGGTAAAACTATATCTAATAAAAACAAATACGGTGTATTATATCTAGGTTTTCATCTCCCTCATATACTTTAATGTATGCAATGATTTTTATGTTATTTTCTTTTGAAAGGCTTGGTAAATGGCTATATTATTTTCTGGGCACATATTTTTTATAATATGGAGGTAGACTCTAGTACATAAAGAAACATTAACAAATAAGTCACAAGGAAAGAGAAGAAAACAAACTAACAAACATGTCACACATACGCCCTCAAACATCACTCTGCAGGGTCACATGATCACAGAGCAAGTTCATAATTATGTAGGCTTATCCTCCATAACTGGTCCCAAGGAGATGCTCATTTCTCCTGATCGCTGTTTATTCTACTGAGCATACATTCATGAGATGCTATTTCTACCAGTCCCGGGGCCATTGTTGTCTTCCAGTGTCTAAGAATATCTCGACAGACGGTTATAAGACCCGCAATCAGACCTAAATGATTAAATATATATCTGTACAACGTACTGTTTTATCTGAAATATAATTAATATTTAATAAAAAACAACTTAATTACTTGCATTCTGGTGAATTTGTACACGCAAATGTTTCCTTTTCTGCAATAAATTATAGTGTAACTATCTTTAATTTTGTCAAAATAAAAGTCCTCTGCTAATTTCATGATTAATTTTGTCCCCAAATGAGTGCTCACTTATGATAATTTAAGTATCATAAGTAAAATTATGGTCTCTTACTTATACTTAGAATATCCAGAATTTATATAAAGATACACATCTTTAAAAAAAGATTATCAGAATCATCCATAAATGAAAAAAGAAAACCCAACAACAATAAATGAATAAATAAATAAATAAATAAAACTATCTCTGTGATATTGGTAACATGTTGCTTACTATACATATCCACTCATTATAAATGCATAACATTTTTATTTATTTATTTATTTATTTATTTCCTATTTGTTAGTTGCCTTCTGGAGCTGAGCACAAATGAATTTCACAATACGTTGGAACACACTGTGTAGTGACGACTTAATGTGTGACCAACAAACATAATTTGATATGTTGAGTTTTAATTTAATTTAATTTTAAATGAATTATTCTATTTTTAAAGTATTTTGGGTGCTTACTTCAGAAACCAACAGCACAATTTTGCACTTGAAATAGGACCAAATAATATTATGTATTTATAACCGACATAACAGTTCCGCCATCTTGTGGACAACTGACTTCACTGCAGAGTCAAACAAAGCGCGTTTTAGTGACGTTTGCCCTACGCGGCTTCCGTCCGAGCTCACATGCGACAACAGAAGGTCAGACATGGCAGCTTGTGCTGTAGGGCTGGACAAATTTATGTTTTCACTGAGGCTATTACGGAACCTCCGGCTCCAGAATGAACGTAAGTAAACCGAACAAGCTCCTGTTTATGTGTTATACTTTATAATGTGCTGTCAGCCTTTAAACATAAGCAGTACGTGTACATCCATGAGCCACGAGCTAACGTGGCTAACGGTTCACTGTTAACGTTAGCTAGCAGTTTTCAACCTTCCCATCACTTTGACTGATTATCGTCTTGTTGTCTTGTTACGTACAGGGTTCATATCCACATCTGTGTGTCGTCTTGCTGCGGGAAGCAGCGAGGAGCCACCAAAGTTCATCCCTCCATCCAAACCTGTCATCGTGGATAAAACACAGACTGAGGTGTCTCAGCGGAAGTATGATGTTTATGCGACCTCCAGCTGACACTCACTGATACACACACTAACTCTGCATACTGTGCACGGTAATGTGTTTTAACGTGTTGTCCCGGTTGTGTCTCTCCTCTCAGGGTGCTGAGCCCAGAGTTCCTCCCTCCCAGACAGAGAACAGACCCTTTTAAATTCTTCATGGAGAGGAAAGACATGATCCGCAGGAGGAAGGTGCTCGACATCCCTGAATTCTATGTTGGTAAGAAACCAGTTACATTCTCACCTTGAGGTGATGGTGTAAGATCACCCAAACTATTTCATTTTCTCATCTTGACACCTGGAGAAGGCGGCAGTAGCTCAGCCCGTAGGGACTTGGCTTGGGAACCTGAGGGTTGCTAGTCCAAGTCCCCATATAGACAAAGTTTCCACTTCATACAAGTGTATTTATCACAGCTGGATGTAATATTTCGTCACTAAAGCTAGTTGTCCCAGCTGTCAGGATACAACCACACTTTAGTAACTGGCCTTCATTTTTATTTTTAAATCAACTATCCTTGTACACTGAGTCCGATGCCTTTTACTGTTCTATTCCTTAAGACAATTTGCAATACAAGACAAAATGAATGTACACATTCCCTCCTTTGCCTCTCTCCACTGGAGTCACCTATCTGGTCGTCACCACTCTCTCCCGGTGTCTTGCATTTGGCACCACAGCTGCATGAAGGGGCAGAGCTATCCTCCTTCTCTGTCTCCACACTTACTTACTGTGTACAGTCCTCCTCATCCTCCTCCTCCTCCTCCTCATCATCATCCACCTGAATATTATTATCTGATCTGTTGAAAGTGAGCTACTGTATCTGAGTTATGAGCGGATATTGTGTCACCTGTTCCTCTGTCTTGTGGTGGATGTGTCCCACTGCCACATTTTCTTCACTGATTGTTGATTCTTGAACCCTGTCTGGCCTGTGACAGATGTGAAAAACTCTGAACCTGTTCAGAAAACTTTAATGACAGGCAAAAGTGTCAGTGTGCAAAGGTGACTGACACAATATGAGGTCCTATTTGTGTGACAGTATCAGAAGGAAAAAGCCAAATCAGTGTGCAAAGGCTTTTACACTGATACTCCTTAGTAACTGGGGATGGCTACCGTGGAAAATAAAAGTGCTATCCTCTTCCTGTTTTGGTTTGTGCCATTAATTGAGCCTTAATTTTCCTGGGAGACTGTACGGAGTGGCAGCCAGAATTGCATAGTGAAGGAGAGGCTTATAAGAAACCAATCTAAACGTAGATGGTGTCATTCTTCATTCTATAGCCATTTAATCTTGCAATCAACGTTCATTTCCAAATTATAAGTTAAAATACAAAAAGCCTTGTCTATTTCCACTTTAAATGGTGCAAATGATTTTTGTTTTAAGGGAGCATCCTGGCTGTGACCATGGCCGACCCCAACGCCAGTGGGAAAACTAACCGCTTTGTTGGCATCTGTATCCAGAGGGGTGGGAAGGGGCTGGGAGCCACATTTATCCTGAGGAACATCATCGATGGCCAAGGTGAGGGTTGTTTTCTTTCTTAGTTTTGAGTCAACCAAATTGTTCTCAGAAATTGTAAATGTGAAATTATAGTGCTTTTCAGTGTAAAGTCTGCCTGTCCATGTCCCTCCATATTTGTCCACATCTCTACTTCAGTGTTGGCCATGAACCTGGTGGCCTTCAGGCAAAACACCTGCTTCAATCATGTGTTTCTTAATGTGCGTGTGTGTCTCAGGTGTGGAGATCTGCTACGAGATCTACAGCCCCCGTATCCAGCAGATTGAAGTGCTGAAGCTGGAGAAGAGGCTGGACGATAACCTGATGTATCTGAGAGACGCTCTGAGCGAGTACAGCACCGTGGACCCGGACATGAAGCCGGTGCCCATTCCCACCACTGGAGAGGTGCCTGTCAATAAGGTGAGAGAGCTCAAGGATGGATCTTGATTTATAACAAAGAGCTGGATTAAACGGGGCTTCTCCGGACTTATTTGTTGTACTTACTATTGTTCAGGCTCTTTTTATAAAGTTGCTTGGATCTTTATTTGTATAATTTCTAGTAACACTGATATCGTGCTATTGTGCTATCTTACACGATAGCAGACTTTCACTTCACAATTACTGTGGCCAAGAGTTATCATCAATACCGGTATATCCTGACACGCCTAGTCTGACCTACAAGGACTACATCACATTAGCATGTCAAGTAACTGCGCGCTTCCGTCTACTCACCAGGTCAAGGTAAAGATGCGCCCAAAGCCGTGGTCCAAACGCTGGGAACGACCCAAGTTCAAAATCCAAGGCATCCGCTTCGACCTGGCCCTGACCCCGGAGCAGATGGAGCACGCCCAGAAGTGGGCACAGCCTTGGCAGGAGTACGACATGCTGAAGGAGTACGACATGTCCAAACTGGAGGTGAAGATCCTCGACGAGGTCCAGAAGGAGATGAGCAAGTGAGGACGATCCTCCTGAAATGCAAACGTTCATCAAGTTTACCATCAACAGACTTTTTCAGGAACAGGAAAGACTGAAATATGAGGATTGGAAGGACGTGGAACAATCTGCTGGATTAGGTTAATCCAAATGGTTTACTCCAGATACACCAGTGTAGGTGCGGAGGAGCCAAGATGGAAGCTGGTGTCGTCGTCTGAGGAGTCATGTCTGCTTCTGTTTGTCTTGTCAGTGTCATGGGCCTTAGCTATGACATCCATTAAGTTGTTTCTATAATAAAAGCTATTAAACCTTCCAAGCTTTGCATTTTGTTCTCTGAAGACACATTTGTGTTTCTGTTTTGTGCCACTAGATGGTGCTGTTCCTCCATATATGTCGCATCCATGGGCAGTTGCATAACCAAGCCTTTGTTGTGTCTCACAGTGTTTTGATGGAAACACTGCCACGCTAAATAAACAGTGTGTTATTTCAGTTAAATGATGAGGGGCTTGTTCCAAAAAAGCAGCTTTATTGAGTTTAATGATGTAAAACTCTTAAAAAAAGTATCTTAAAAGTCACATATTCCACATTTAAGGGGCTTTAAATTAGTAAAAGATTCCAGAAAATCAGTAAACCTGCTTTTTGGATTAAACCCCAGTACCATGCACTTTAAAAAACGGAAAAAACACACCCTGGTATTCAGGGACCGTACACACCAAGGACACCCGGTAGTGTTTTACTGTTGTGGATGGAAAATTGTGGTGTTGAGATGGTATGTTAGAGCGTCAGTTGGGGTAGTATAAAAACACTTGGACTCCTTATGTTATGTCTGCTCTCCGCCAATGTGTGTGTGTGTGTGTGTGTGTGTGTGTGTGTGTATAAACACGCCGAATGAGTCCCTGCACTCTAATTTCTCCATATTACAGGATGAGACGGGGAGAAAATGGTCTTTAATACAGGAGGAGCAGATGTTTACTGAGCTCATTATGGACCACACAGATTTCCTGTGTGGAGATACCGCGGAATAAAGAGAGCGCGATTATTCCTGCTTCATTTAAGCTAATGGAATGGGAGACGTGCAGTGGAGACCTTTAACGTCGGTGTACGGCAACTGATAAGAGTTAATGGTTTTGGGGTTATTTCAGCCCAAACTGCACCTGTTGAACAAGTATGTCTCAGCCTCTCAGACTCCACCGTATTTACCCAATCAGACGTGACCTGCAGCAACGAAAACCAACTCCATGTGCGTCTGTGTACAGTACGCTTAGAGCCTGTCCTGCACAATGTCATTATACTGCCCACTGAACCAGCTGGCCCTTTCACCTTAACTTTTTTTCCACTCAGTATTTTCTTCAGGACGGTTGACGCTCACGTGTGGAGGCGGTAACAGATTGTTTATCCTACAGCACACTGCTGAGTCTCTAGAAGCATTTTTACGGTGACACCACTGGACCAGTTAAAACCGCAAAGTTACTCGGTGTGAGTTAATGCTTCAAGGAAACTTCCTGCCTCCGTTTGTGTGTGTGTGTGTGAGTACTTTAAGGTTGTGATCTCAACTGTATGTGCCTCCCATGCCCTCAGGTTGACTTCTCTGCACCTGGAGTGAAGTTAAAGCCCCTTGGCTGGGAAAGGAGATCAAACACCAGCTCACACACACACACACACACACACACACACACACACACAGCGACTTGCAGACAGGCTATCATATCAGCCTTCACAGACAGACACCTCAAACAGTGCCAACTGTAAACGTCTGGGACTGCCTGTCTGTCAATCCTCGTGCGAAACAAGATACGCTCCATCGCCGTGGAATCGGGGTGGGGCATGCAGGTTGGAGGAGCCCATAATCCCACCCCTCAACAACAACCGACTGTAAAGCATGGTGGGCCGATGATAGCTACAGTGCCACACACACTACTATGAAGGTCAGTGCAGGAATGTAGGGAGGGACACACTCCTCTAATCTGTCTTCCTCCCCTCCGCCGGTGCTCCCATGACCTTCGTCTCTTTCTCTCTCCGAGGGAGGACAGCGCCAGCTTTGAAAAGGAGCCAGGTTGATGAATTGGAGAGGATGTGATGCAGGGTGTGCAGTGACTCCCACAGGTTGAGATTTTGGGGGTAATGTCTTCCACTGGGCCAATACACCAAACGCAGTCTCAGCCTCTGAACCTTTCGGTGCGCTGATCTCTAACATCTCTGTCATTGTGTGATTTCTTACTCTCCTGTCTGCAGGCCTGGGGAAATTAGTTTCACTCTCTCTGTCTCTGCCAGGGGAGTGTGAACTGCGTTTGAGCCGTCTGTGTGTATGACAAGTGCAACGGGATACTGGGCCACCCATAGGCCCCAGGTAAATTACACCCTGTCACTGTGTGTGTGCGTACATGTGCGCATGAGCATGTGTGTGCGTGTTACTCGGGGCCACCCGTAGTCCTAGGTAAATTACACACTTGAGTTTCACCATATGTTTCCAGTGAAACAACACGACCGTCTGCTCCTCTCCGACTGTCCCACGGGCCTGACGGGGGCTCCTGCTGCCATCACTCTCTCTTTGTTACACACTCGCACAGGCAACCCGACAGTGCGACAGCTGTTTGGAAACATTACATTGCGAGCAGCTGATGCCTGAAGTTGAACAGGCACACATCACAGTCATTTTAATAATGTGATTCAGTGTGGAGTGGGTCTGGCAGTGCTGCCAGGGTCATGGGATCACTTCCAGTTGGGCCAAAGCATCCTAAAAATGTACAGATAAAAGTGTCCATCAAAATGGCATATGTTCAACAGTGTCAACAGGGAAAGGATGACTGTACGAGACAAGAGCAGGGTGACTGACTAAAAGGGTACTCCAGCTATTTAGTGGCTACCGCACTTCCACAGAGTTGAAGGATTCAAGAGAGGAAAAGAAAAGAAAAGAAAAGAAAAGAAAAGAAAAGAAAAGACAGTCTATAACCTCCTGAGACACTGTGTCCTCATATGAGGACATCACATTTTGGGTTTAATTCACCTTATCCTTCATTCTGCTTAACTTAGACCTGTTGTCTTCGTTCGTGGACATGTTTCTTTGTGCCATCTAGTGGTAGTAAGACCACAATACACTAATCCATGTAAAAACAAGATGGCCGCCATCTTTGTCAAGCCAAAACCTGATCACGTATTTATGATTAATAAAGTTTGTAGTTTGATATGGCAACAAATTTGACAATTTTAGCAACAGTAAGAAGTTAAGACACTGTAAATGAGATAGTACTCGTTTGAGGACATTGGGACTTTATTATTGTCTTGTTTGAGGACATTGGGACTTAATGGTCGTCTCATTTGAGGACATTGGGACTTAATTATCGTCTGGTTTGAGGACACTGGGATGTAGTCTCATTTGAAGACAGTGGGACTTTATTATCATCTCATTTGAGGACAATGTTTATTTTTTAACACTTATCAGGTCCTACTGATCCCAAGTAGCTAGGAGAAATTAAAAATGCAAACCAAACAGAAGTTCAGGTCTCAGGAGGATAAACTCCAAACATACTGCATCCTACACCTCGGTAGTTTTTTTTGGTCACGTCCTCGCTGCCTGGTAAATACTCTTGTCTGTCAATCTCCACACCACCAATTCAGTTAAAATTTTGTATTTTTAAACCTACCCTGAAATACATGAGTGATGTCACTAGAGTCATTTCATTAAAGCTCATCCAAAATCACAGAAAACATTCACTGTTTCGATGGTTGTGTAGTACTCCCTGTGACCAGTACACAGAGTTGTAAAACTGGTGGAGTTTCCCTTTAAGTTAGAAAACTGTATTATTGAAGATATAGTGTATACTGTGTATTTTCTGTATAAGAATCTTTGAACTGAACGTTTTACATTTTAAAGAAATCTGACTTCCTCAGTCGGGGGAGTAAACTTTGAGTGAACGATGCCCAATTTAAAAGAATAAGGCTTCTGATATATATTTTTCTTGTCAATTACTCCTATGAATAGAGAAGGGAGTGGAGAACAGTTTGCAGTTGAGAACCAGCTCCAAGTTGTCCGATCCATTTGAGTCATATGCTTTCAAGCTTATCAACTGGTAGCTCAGAGGCCAAATTTCACAAAGCCAGAAGACAACAGTGCTGCTTCAGGGCTGTACAATGTGACAGCACTGTTTCCCAACTGGTGGGTCATGGTCCATTCTGAATGGACTGCAAGTGACTCGAAAACATGTCAAGTTAGTAAATAACAAGTGTGAAGTGTTGTTTCCTTCTGTAGAGTGAGAAAGAGACAGCAAACTAGCTCGACGACATGGCCAAACACAGGTATGGTGCTGAATGTATTGAACTAAGTGGACCTTGAACTAATGACTATGGAGAAATCTGGATCCGTGGCCGAACCAGTCGGGAATCACTGACTTATAGTATGCTGCATGTTCTGTGCAAAAACTGGTCAGTGTGTTCCGCAGGAGTACCTATGCGACACAGCTCTGCGTTGCCTGTGTGTGACACAGAGCAGCTAATTTGTTTAAAGTGCTCAGGGTCAGAGATAATAAAAAAGTTCTGCTGATGCTGAAAACCTGTGTAAGCCTACTTTTTTTCCACAGAGAAAATTGATCAGGAATCAATAAGGGAATCAATAAAGAACTGAACCGATACGCAGAATCAATAATGATGTATTGGTATCAATAAAATCTCATCATTTCCCATCCCTTCCTATGAATCCCATGCTTACCTCAAAGAGAGGACTGACTTGCTTCATGTCAGCACATTTGATATATACCAAATGTGTATTAATGCACAGCTGAAAACAGTCTCCAATAAGTGCACTGTTTAGTCCTGTTAGAGTAATGCCTACTAAAGGCTGCAGTGCTCAGCTGTTCCAGAAATTAAAGTATGTATTAGTTCCTCCAGGGCTGAGGAGTCAAAGTATTGAGAGATGATAACTCTTCTGGTGGTGTTTTTGGCGGGGCAGCAGTACAACTGACAGGATGAATGGATGAAAATGTGATGAATGTCACAGTTACTTGCACCATCACTGCTGTGTATTACACAATACAGTAAAAACTGGATGGGTTTAACAGCTTGGGCCTTGATGAATAGCAGGCCCGCGGTCATATGATCAGAGGAACACTGTGACCAGAGCTGAGGTTAAAATAAATCTTGTGTTTGAAGGTAATCCAGTCAGATGTCAGATAATCATGGAGGCTATTTAAATGTTACTCTCACGTCTACATGTCCCATATTGGTTAGCGGGTAAATTAAAATATTAATAGTATAATAATACTCCCTAAAGGCATGTACATGGTTGGTTCTGTGCCCAGAGGCCTTCAGCATTAAGACAAAGGA